GGAGAGAAAGAGAGAGGGGAGGGAGAGAGAGAGACAGAGGCAGAGGGAGAAGAGAGGGAAAGAAAGAGTTATGGAGGGAAGAAGGAAAACGGAGAGAAGGAGTTGGAGAACGGAAAAGACAAGAGTATGAATATGGGAGAGAGAGGAAGGCAGAAATTAGAGGGGGGGTGAGAAAAAAGGAGAAAGAGAGAAGGGAGGGAGAGAGAGGAGAGTGAGTTTTCTCTGGTTGCACTTCCTGTGGGTGTGTGTGATTAGCTGTGGTCAGATGAAGTCATCAGGAGCCATGGTGGATCTGTTACATGCAGGAGGAGCACTGACGCTGCTGCTGTCAGAGCCACATGTCTCTCTCATCTGTCTCATACCAGTGTCCAGTGTGGGAGTGTGAGTGTGAGTGTGTGTGTGTGTGTGTGTGTGTGTGTGTGCTGCTGCTTCTTCTTCTGCTGCTGCTGTGAGATAGTATTTTGACCCCCATAGTAAAGTGACCCCCCTATAGGATTTGGACTCCTCTTTCTTTTTTCTCTAGTAGTTACTTATCTGATCATTATTTCTCATCTCATTTACTTTTATTATATATTGCTTCATATTCACTTTCTTTTAAGATATTTTAAGGAATGTTTTGATGGAGAACGACTTGGTATTTTGTGTAAATCTTGTCAATCTTGTCACTTTTTATATTGTATTTTACATTGTTATGGTTTTAGTTTGTTATGTTCAGATAATCCTTAATCATAATGTCAATTTAGACAATGGTTTGTAAGAATAATGACCTCGAAGTGTTGTGTTATAATAAACATATTGGGGGGTCAGATTATTATAGTCAGAGGATTTTAACCTCCTTTATATATAATTGTTGTCAATATTCAACTAACATGACTTCTTACTTTACATCATCATAACTAGAATAAACATATTGGGGGGGTCAGATTATTATAGTCATATGTATCTCCTATTTAACTACTTAATAGATCATCCCTGTCTATTTGAACAAGATTCCAAATCACTTTGATTATATAACAAATTAATAACGACTTATCTCATTTTCAGTCAAATATGTTTAAACAGCTAAGTCATTTTTAACATTCAAAAGTTATAATCAACATAAAAAATACATCTGAGTTCTTCAAAAACACTTTTAAATATGTCAATATGTTTTAATTTGCAGATATAGTTTTAATATTCAAAGATTCTCTATAGAATTCAAGTTCTTTATTAATAAAATATAGATTTTCAGTATTCTATAGGGGGGTCAACACACCAGAATAGGATTCTGACCACCTCAAAATACTATTCCACACTGGCTCACTTGTGTGTGTGGATGTCACTGTGCTACGGTGATCAGAACAGTGCCACTACAAGTATTTGACGTCATGACATGAGGACTTAACCGTTTCACTTTCACTTTTGTATTTCATTGACTGTAGCAGTGGCCTGGGCACAAAGGCAACATGTTTATATTCATCAATCACTGTTTTAGATTGCATTTTGAAAACTATACAAAAAAATACCGATCTATCTCTATTAAGAAAGTGGATTAAAGATTTAGATTGTATATTTCATTGGGATGTAACAATAACCCAAATATCGTGATATCGTATCGTCAGAGTTCTCACAATAATATCAATCGCAATATATCGAATCACAAGTTTCTTTGCTTAAATGAAGAGTTACGGTGCAGCAACAGCTAAAAGAAAGACAGAACTACATAGACCATGATCCTTTGCTCCATTTCAGTGCAGACTACAAGAAGAAACAACAGTTCTAACACTTGGATATCGTTACACCCCTACTATTTTAGATTACATTTTGAAAACAATATTAAAATGGCGATCTATCTGTATTAAGAAAGTGGTTTAAAGATTTCGATTGTATATTTCATAAAGATGATTTAACTGTCCGCAGACATGAGTTAAACATGTTCAAATCAAATATAACTTTTAAGTTAATGCAGATTTATTCTTAACTAGTGCACAGCCTGTAGAAGCTGTGCCAGACTGTTGTGTGCTGCTGTATTGTTGAAGTTGGTGATCACGTGAAAGGAGCAGGAAGCAGGAAGTAACAATAAAATCATGTTATGGACTTTATTAGACGAGCACAAATGAAAGTCTGTCAGATTGTGGAGGGGTTTGTGTGTGTGTGATTGAGAGCATGTTTACATTGAGTGCCTCTTTAGAAACTATATTACGCAGAAATTAATGCTTTTTCTTAGTTTCTTTATCTAGTGAGAGTTATGCAGCACACTCAGTATCACGGGCATGACACATTGGCTGTTTTGTGTTGAGTGGCTATGGAGCATTGTTGTGTGATTGACTGATATCTTTGGCATTTTTTTCCCTAATAACATGAAACTTGGCACTGCACACACACGTACCATTAGGATGACACCCTCCGAATTTGATTGATCAGTCAGATGAGTGGTTCCAGAGTTATGCGTGGAACAGACAAACAAACCAACCAACAGGAGGACACACAGACATAGATTACAAAAACTGAGAACATGGCACATTTCTAGACTCTATTCACGTTTACGTCACAAACCAGGAAGACATTTGGAAATACGCAGTGACAACTTCCATCACGCTCTGTTCGCGGTAGTAAAATGAGGAAAACTCTAGGAAAAATGAGAAAATGTCCCAGTTTTCTTCATCTCCATGTGGCGGTATTTTTCTGTTTTTGCATTTTGGGCTAAACCAGGACTAAAACCATAACTAAAACCAGGACTAAAACCAAACCAGGACTAAACCAGGTCTAAACATTATGACACTAACAGTAGGTGGACATAATTTCAGGCAGCAGTGTCTCATATAAAAATAATTTCTCTATCAATAATATTTCAATATGTTTAAGTAAAGTCTGGACTTTTTATTTTCTTTTAGCAGATAAAATAACACATCTTTTGTTCAGATCCTCGTCTTTGCTTCTCTACAGTAAAACAAAAGTCTGTTCATGGAGACTTGGGCTCAACAGACAATTTGAAGAGAACAAACATGAATTTTCAGGATGTGGTTGCTACATTCATGTAGTTTTAAAAAGCATGACAATATCAAGTAATCCAAAGTATTCAGATTACATTACTCATTTTAAGTAATTTAAAGGATTACATTACAAACTACATTTTGGGGTATGTAATCTGTAATCTGTAGGGGAATACATTTTAAAAGTCACCTTCCCAACACTGGCTGTACAGTTCCTTTAATGTCATGAACATAAATAAATCTTTTCTTACTGCTAAGGCTGCTGAGGCTGATAGTTCTGCTGCTGTGGTGGAAACAAAGTGCATTTATGAATGAGTTGATTGGCTGAGAGTTAATGGTAGTAGATTGTGATTGGCTGACCGTTACAGGAAATGCAGTTTTCCTGGTTCAAGTATCAAATGACATTAGCACATCCTCACCAACGCACATGTTTCATCATTTAGCTGTGTGCCTAATGTCCTCTCCTCTTATTAACAGAGCGTCTCTTTCAGTGTGAGTGAACAGCCCTGGTGCCACCGTCTCTGCTCATTTAGCCGTGCGTGTTTTGGACAGAGCTCTCCAAACACACTATCATTAAGCACAATGGAGCGGCCTGATGTATCACACGCTAATTACAGCCAGAGGAGCTTACCTAACACACTGAGAGCCTCCATCCCAGCCCCGCCACACAGACCCTGGCCTTTAATGCTAATGATCGGCCCATTGTACACACGAGTATCACGCAGCACACACAGAGCGCGCACACGGGCATCACAGCGCACACACATACACACACACAGGCATCACAGAGCCATCCAGCCTGTTTGTTGTGTGTGAGGGCCATTATTGGATTATCAGGTTTCAGGTCTGCTCAGAGGAGAGGAGCAGGGTGGAACAGCTGATCGATAGTCCTAAGTCTTGGTGTTTACATACAGACATGGAGACACTGCTGTACTAGTATGACCGTGTAAACAACGGACAGGGACCATACGGGGCGTTTATTTATCATAATCCAATCAAAATTTGAATGGGCTCAAATAGCAAATGTACTGATACTACGAGGCTCCACCCCCCATCCCCCGTACAGTGTCCTGGTTTTGACAAATGCAAATATGGTCACACTAACCTGTATTCCACTGAGTCGTGTCCTCTAATCTGACAGAACCGCATCAGCGACACAAGAGCTGTTTTTTTTCTTCGCTTAGTTTATGCAAATGAGTCATGTGGTTTTAAGTTTTGTTTCTGTGAGAGTTGCGCAAAGACATTTAATCGAATGCCCATCCCTAGTTTGAGCGTCGACCTCACAGCAGTCACATGCCAGACTAATCTCCAGTGATGTAGAAATGCCATTATCTGGAAGAAGGAGCAGAAAGAGAAAGACACAGGAGCCAGGGATGAAACTGGCAAAACTCAGAAGTCAGAACGCCTCTGAACTAAGTCATGGACCCAGACAAGAAAAAAAAAATCTTATCATGAACAGGTTGCTGCTTAAATACACACACCATGAAGTGTCCAGCCCATGTCCTCAGCACTGGATCGTGTGTTCTGTGTGTACATGAGTGGGGTACAGTTGTCTAAAGTGCATTTAAACCATAGACATCAATGGACAGAGCTAATGCGCTAGCTGCCACGTTCTAAATAGGAAGTTCACGTGCGGCTCTTCTGGCTCCTTCTGACTTACACTGAAATATTGCCGTCCGTCCTTCTGTACCTGCTGCTGTGAGCCTCGTCATTTTGGTCTTAAAATGTTCTTCTGAACCTGCTCTGAATGATCCTGTTTTTTTGGTTTTTTTCCTATTCATTCCTATTTTAATCCTGTTCATAACACAGAACCTGGCTGCAGATTCGCTCCTATAACCATGATCACTGTGAGCTACATGTGAGCGGGGTTGAGCGCTGCGGTGGGTTGAGCGCTGCGGTGGGTTGAGCGCTGCGGTGGGTTGAGCGCTGCGGTGGGTTGAGCGCTGCGGTGGGTTGAGCGCTGTGGTGTCGTCACTTTTTCATACAGTCTGTGATTTGACCCTGACCCGTGTCGTCCTGTGTGTGCAGTGAAAGAGGAGCCCCTGTCGGAGCCGGAGGATGAGCGTAGCACAGATGCTCTGGTGGAGGAGATGCTGCAGCAGGGGGACACGGCCGTCATCTACCCAGAGGCCCCTGAGGACGAGCTGCCCAGGCTGGGGACCCCTGAGGCCCCGGGGCCCGATGAGAACGGTAACACAGCACTCACTATGAACCAGGGAGAGAATATTCAGTTAACCTAATGTTAAACCAGTGGAGATGTTGGATGCTGAAGTAATTGAAGTTTTGTTTTGCTTTTAAAGTACAGTATTAGTGTAGTTGTATAAAGGCCCCGGTTTGGAAGTTTTTGTCTCTTCATCCACTTTGTCTCTTCTCTCAGTCTGAGATAAAGTTTGACACATAACTATTCGTGACAGCACAGCGAGAGAGGGATCAGTCAGTCTCGACTTGGTTCTCATCCAACAAACCGCATGATTGATTGGATACAATTGTGTGTCCCTGGCTGTTCTTTCCTTATGGTTCTCACCCAACAAAATGCCTTTTAAAATTAATTGGCCATCTCCTTCATTTTGTGTCACAAACAGCTGCTTTTCCAAAGGCCTAAAGCATTTTTATGGATTAAAAAAAGTTCAGTACTTTAGGCACCCTGTAGAAATCTTGTCCTCTGCATTTGACCCTTGAATTCTGCTGGGCTGAGCCGAGGGGACAGTGGGAGCCGCAGTGCACAGCTCGGGGACCTCTCTCCAGATCTTGAACTTTGCTCGACTGTACAGATGGACAGAGTTACCCCTCCTGCTCCCACGTCCCAAATAGGAAGTGAAGTGAACGTAGGCGTTACACGGCTCCATCAGTTCTGACTCCAGTTCATTTTCTTTTGGAATTCCGCTCATTCTTAAAGTCGGTTTCAGACTCTATAAATGCTAGCCTCGACTGACTTCATTCGGCTGCAACTGAACACTATGAGTGACATCAGTGTCCCTCAGTCCACTTGTACAGAGTGTGGAGTGAGCACTGCCTGCGCTGGAGGATTTGGTGTGTGGTGCAGGTTTTGGGTTCTGTCAGTAGTTGTGAGAGCAGAGGGACACTGCTCCATGTGACTCTCTCCCTGAGCTTTGTAACAGCTCCAGCCCAGAATTAGCAGCTTCATGTCAGATGCTAATAGTCTCCTCCTCCCTCCTCTCCCCTGTGTGAAGTGACACCTCTACCTGCTCTCACCTCTGACCCCTCACCCCCTCCCACCCCTCCCATACCGTTTCCTGCCCCGGGTGGCTCTGGGCTCTGGACTGTACCTGCCCCTCACCACAGCCGCCGCAGGAGGAGGAGGAGGAGGAGGAGGGGGCAGAGTGGGCAGCACCTGGGTAAATTAGTCACGTCCGTGTGATACCTGCCGATAAGTGCACATGTTCCCAGCCCCGGGCCTCACCTGCCGGCCTAATACATCACCTGTTAACACCAATGCTTCACCTGTGTGGGAGCTCAGAGCCCGGCAGGTCCGCTCCTGTCACGTGCAAAGGACATTCTCTGTATTATGTCCATGACAAGAATACGACATTTTAAATGTATTTAGTGCAGAGGATGTTGTTGAGAGGAAACATACATGACCAATCAGACGTGTTTACAGGATGACAATGATCTGATTCAGATCTGAGTTTGCTTCGAGTTAATCATCATCACTTTTTTGACAGTGTTTGTTAATGCGTGCATCATGTCTCCATAGTAACAGCTGATCATTCCCCCAGAGACTTACACAGAGAACACACCCAGCATGATGTTACTGCAAAATATCAATAAAAACTAATTCAATTATTTGATCTACAAGTTTGTTATTATGTCCTTTTTGCTTATTTATTTCATTGCTGAGTTTAGGATAATGTAAGAAATGAATTACGTACAAATTTACAGTATGAATAATTATTTATAACAACATAGTCTTAAGTAGTAGGGGTGTGCAAACATATCGAAATATTGATATATTGTATTGTTGAATGTGCTGATACAGTATCGATACCGTGGGCTGCTGTATCGCCAAGAGTATTTTTTGGTTTATTTTACGGCGCTACGGTTTTGTTGCTGGTTTAGAGGAAGGAAACTGGACATATGCGACACATTTGACATTTTCTGTTTTGATGATTAAAATATTTGTGTTTCATATGAACTTTGAACTTTGAAGTGATTTAACAAAGACTTTTAGTATCACAGCCATGATTTAACCTTTTTTTTTTATTGAGCCGTATCGAACCGATTTGAAATATATCGTACTGAGTCAAAAGCAATCGTGAATCGTGTCGGCAACTTCTTAATGACTCTCAGCCCTGTTAAGTAGGTCATGTCATTATGTAAATATATGAATCCTACTGTAGGCTTTTGTAGTATCATGTGCCATCAACTACTAAAACTTTCAGCTGCATGTATTAGGGCTCTTGACCTTTTCGTCCACAGGGCCCAAAGTAACCTGGGGCCCACTCTCATGTCTCATGTCAAATCACCTTCTACTAACTGTGCGGCCCTCAGGGACTTGCTTGTAGCCATTTTGGACTGGGCCCTAGTATTTGGGCTCACTGTACACAGCTCATTTGTTCAAAGTAACCAGACACTCAATACAATATTATAAAGACAGTAATAAGAAGTAGGACTGCACCATATTGGAACATTTTGCGATATATAATACGGCTGTAAAGAACTATGATATTGATAGTATTTTAATATTTTATCCTTTTTAGCACAATAAATTGTAGTATAACTGTAATAGTAATAAATAGTAAAATAATAGTATAAAAAATATAAATAAATAATAGTTAGGGGTGTAATGATATCCAAGTCTCACTATACAATATCGTCACGGTATAAACCTCACGGTACAAGATTTATTGTGATATCGTGGGAAAGCTCATGATATGGTGGAGAGTCTCACAATTAGGAATATAACAATATCCAAATCTCTGTACGATATTTTCACGATATACATCTCACAGTACGATATTTATTGCGATATTTTGTGGAGGTTAACACAACTACTATTCTACTTTTTTCTCATAAAATGCCTTGACAAGACTTAATCCAAAGAACTAAGACTTAAAAGTGCTTAGAACTAGGGATGGGCATGATTAGTCAGTTAATCGATAATTGATCATTAAGAATTGTGTGGATTACGTTCATTTTTAATTGACAAACTGAATGTAGGTAGCTGTGTGCAGCGTAGGGTGACCAAACGTTTTTCCCTGGACATGTTCGTTTGCGTCCTGTCCTGGGCGCCCTGTTTTTTTTTTTTTTTTTTAATAAAGTGATGCAAATGTCGGGTTTTCATTTCCTTTCATTGGGCCATTAAACTGAGCAGCTCTCGTAGCTCTCTGCACTCAGAAGGAGCAAGACCCAAACATTCGGTCAGTCTGCAACACGCTGAAGCACAAATGCACATTTAACGATGACTTGGACAAGAAATTCCCCAATTTCTGTCCCGGTCGAGACAAGTAGGAGGCCATGTGCACAGTGGTAGTGCCAGGGACCTCAAAGCTCACCAGGACACTGAAAAACATTAAAAAGCTTTGCCAGGTGAGAATAGCTTAATGTCAATGACGAGGCCCCACCTCCCAGCCCCCGTACAGTGTCACGGTTTATATAGTAAAGTTGAGTTTATTTATGCAGATTAGTAGTGCAGATAGTAATAATAATGATGATCATTTTAATATAAAAACGTTAATGATTAATCGATAATCAATCGTTAAGTCTCCCGACGATTGAGTAAGAAATTTTAATCAAATGCCCATCCCTACTTAGAACTGTTATTTCTTCTTGTAGTCTACACTGAAATGAAGCAAAGGATCATGGTCTAATGTAGTTCTGTCTTTTAACTCTTAATTTAAGCAAAGAGACATGTAATTTGATATATTATGATGGTCCATATTATTGTGAGAACTTTGACAATACGATATCACGATATTTTGGTACATTGGTATATTGTTACATCCCTATTAATAGTGTAAAAATATAGTATAAATATACAAAAATATAAATAATTAAATCTAGTATAAACCAAATAATAGTAATAAAGTAGTATAAATAGAAAAATAGCAGTAAATAGTAGTCTGACTGTAAGAGTGTAAGAAGTTCTCAGGAGTTCAGAGTTTTGAGTGTTTTCTAGTCTGTGTCTGTTATTTCTGGGCAGGTGATAATGAAACACAAACAGGATTTCAACCGTAAATCTTAAAGTGTTGGCGTTATCCCGTCACGGTCTAAAGGAGACGGAACATATGTTTGGTTTGAACGTGTGAGCGCCTGACCCGCCCCTCACATAAACCTGCACCATTTGCGGAAACGGGAAGGTGTTACCTACCGCCCCCGGCCAATCAGCTCGCGGCCATTTGTCTACCTGGCCTCTGTTTACCTGCGGGGGGAGAAGAGGGGGGAGTGGGGGCCGTCACTGATTGCTGAAGTAACAGAAGGGTGACAGTGTGACAGATGTGGGACTTCAAAGCCCCCCCTCCCTCCCTCCTCCACCACCCCCACCTCACCCACCACCTCCACCTCCGCTCCCCTCCCTCTCCAGCCTTGCTCCTGTGCCCTCCCGTGTCCACCTCATTCAGAGCCTAACCTGCGAGTTGACAAGTCCACTCCACGTACCAACTTTGGGATCGGATTTTTTGTGCGTCAGATTTTTAGTTTTCTGAATTTTTCTGGCTTGTTCCCGGCACTTTCACATCCTATAAAAGGTGATTTTTAGATTTTTCAGTTTTGTTTCATGTGCATAGACCAGGAATCAGTATTTGACTAAAGTGCGTTTACACTGTTGGAGCCCAGTTTAGTCCTGATGTAGACTTGGTTTGGTCCTGTCATAGTCCTGGTTTAGTCCACGTGTAGTCCAGGTTTAGTTCCGGGTTTAGTCCTAGTCTTGATGTGTCTTTGTGCGCAGTGTGAGTGCACCCTTACCCTGTTCACTTTTTAGCCAAAAACTAAAATAAAAGCATGTTTTTTAATATCATTTTGACCGTGTTTATTGCACTTATAAATACTGTATGCAGGGCAGCCATGGGGTCTTAAATTTCATGTTCCAAAATTAAGGCCTTAAAAAGTCTTAAATTATGTTGTCCAAGTCTTAATTTTTTCACAAAGGTCTTAAATTTCATTAATCTATTTTTTGTTTACTCAATCGGGCTGCAGTGCGACGTTAAACGGAGGGAAAAAAAATAATAATAATAACAACATGAAGCTTAAGTTACCTAATAGAAGTGCAAAAATGCATCTGTATTTGTCATGATGTGCGTTTCGTAAATGTGCTCCGGTTGGGAATTAGGAAAAAAAAAAAAAAAACAGGTTTAAAAATCCTACCCACTTTCTTCACTTTTTTCACAGTTTTGTGTAAAGTGCCAGGGGAAGTTCTCTTAATGAAGAGGTTCTCAAACTGTAGGTGAGGGTCCAAAAGAGAGAGGCAGAGTGTTTCAGTGCAGCACAGTTTGCTTGGCTTTGTAGTCAGTAGATTATTTGGACTTGGTCATTTTATTAAGTAGCTGCTAAAAAAGTAGTAGTTGATTGGTCATTATTAAAATTGGATCAGGTGTTTCTCGCCCACATAATGGGTGAAATGTTGGTCTTAATTTAAATGGTCTTGAAAGGTCTTTAAAAAGTCTTAAATTCAGGGTAGTCACACCTTGGGATGTGTCTTACTGTGAGTGGGCTTGCATCTCCACAAACCTGACTCTTATTTGAGGCCTTTCTTTTCTATCACCATGTGTGTTATATGTGTGTAATGGTCAGTGGTGCAGCAGGTTCATGTTGGTCCATGTGTGTGTACTCGTCTATGTGCTCTTACACTTGTTCTGATGCAGCTCAACATCATTCTAAAAACATTTAGGAAAGGTTCATATTTGTCCTGATTGTGACTTTTTAAGTACCAATACCTACTTAAATGAGTATCTAGTTTCGATACTAGTTTTTGTATATTTTGGTATCTGATTTTTGATACTTTTGACAACTATTTTCAAAAAGAAATGAGTTCCTTTTTTGTGAAGCTCAGGTCAGTTTTTTGTTTTCTTATTGCTCTCTGAATACCTGGCGTCTCCTCTCACTCTGTCCCCTCCCTCTGTCCGTCCGCAGGCACCCCGGACTCCTTCTCCCAGCTGCTGACGTGCCCGTACTGCGCGCGGGGGTACAAGAGGTACAGCTCCCTCAAAGAACACATCAAGTACCGCCACGAGAAGAGCGAGGACTCGTACCCCTGCCCCGAGTGCACCTACAGCTTCTCCCACCGCGCCCAGCTCGAGAGACACATGAGCGCGCACAAGGCCGGGCGAGACCAGGTACCCACACGCTCAACCATATGCACTTCAAGCTTTAGTTGTAGTCTCAAACTGAAAACACTCTGCTCCACCTTGTGATGTCATATGGTAATACAGGAAGTGCGCCATTGTTTTTTTTATATACACCTCCATACACCTTCACTTGAAACATCTGGATCATTTCAACCCAGAATTACCAATTATTACTGAACAAAAGAGAGAAAAAGAGCTGTTAACTTGCAAACTACCACTTCATGACATCACAAGGTGGAACATTTTGAGCTTTGGAGATGTAGACAGACTGATAATAAAGAGTGATTCAAACATGTGTGAATGAAACAGAACAGAACTCCAGGTCTGTTTTGAATGAGGTTTCAGCAGCTCTACTAGGATTTGTACTCAACTAAAAGTTTTGTTACTTTAAAATAATATTATAACTAGAATTTAAAAGTATTTACCCAAAAAGGTAGTTGGTAATTTACTACTCCCTCAACTAGAACTTCAGTCTAGTATTGTTTTATTTTAACGAGACAGACAAAATATATTATGTAAGGAGAACTTTGTTACTTCAAAATGATACTACAAGTAGAATTGAAAAGTATTTATTCATTTGTATTATCGTAAGCTTGGTAAAACAGAACTAGTTCGTTTTACAGTTTGCAAAGTTCTTCCTCACTTAACTTAAGTGTTCAAAGCATCCGAATTATTCACCATGATGAGTTTATAAGTGCTTTTTATAACTGTCAGAGACAGAGCAGAGTTTTGCTGAATTGTAATGCTAACAACAGGAGCTGTGAGGTTTCCCACAATCCACTGCAGATCAAACCCAATGTTTCCAAACACTATTGTACAAGTGACACTGCAGCAGATTATTCATTCAAATCTACTACATAGATAAACTTTACATGACTAAACTTTACAACATTTAAACACAACGACTCTAGAGCCACATCAGCCCGTTTGACATTATCATGTGTTTAATGCAGTTTCATGCACATGTGTTTACGTTTAATAGGAACAAAACTTAAAAGCACATGGCTAATTTGCATAAACAGCGCACTCCTCGTGCCGTTGATGTGGTTCAGCTTCTGTCGGACTAAACAACATGACTCAGTGTTCATATGAGTGTTCTCTCTGTGACAGAGGTGCTGCTGATGGTTTTGTCTGTAAATGGTGGAAAAGGTTTGTGGTGCCATAAGTTTTTCACTGGCACCAACTTTGGGCATTCACGGCGGCAGTGAGGAGTGAATGAGACACAAGCAGCAAAATCAGGGAGGCGAGGTACACGGGGCGACGACAGACAAGACAAACAAGCGAAGAGGCAAAATCAGAATTGAACATAAGCATTATATCGATATATACGATATGTCAGAATCCATATCAAGTTTTAAAAATATCTTGATATATTTAAAATATCGAGATATCACCCACCCCTTCTAACAACAACAATTAGCATGCTATAAAACAGTAAAATAAAACACTGTAAATAGTTGCAGACAGAACCTTGAGAGCTGCTTATAAACTAAATCTGTACATTTGGCTCAAATACATAGTGTAAAAACAATCAAATACTGGCTGTTTAAAGGTGCATTGTGTAACTTTTGTGGTGGAGGGAATGTCAAATACTTTTCTCCGTGGAGATGTTATTGCTTTGTCTGGGATGTTTCACAGTGTAGTATTAAATCTTTCTATCTTCACCAAACCAGAGTAAGTTACAGGTCAGATATTCCTGTACCTGTGTTCTTGAGCTATAAAAATTTAATCAAAGATCTGTTTAATGTCACACTGTGGAGCATTTGTTTTTATCAACAAGTAGGTGACAGACCCTCAACCAAAAAGTTACATAGTGCACCTTTAAATAACAAAAGCACAAATGAACACAAAAGTCAATATTAGAAAATGTACCTGTGTCTGTGTGTGTTGTGCGCTCTGTGTGTGCGTAGACGTGTGTGACACAGTGTGTTTGGACAGTGGTCGTCTGCATGAGGGACATTCATACAGTGTGGAGTCCTGAGTCAGCAGTCTACTCTGCACCACGGCCTCAGCTCCACTCAGGCTGTGAGCTCAAACAAGAACCAGAAGAAAACCTCACTGAGCTAAACATGAACTAAACTCTGCACCATCACCACGCATCACAAATCACATCATATATTACATCACGGCATCAATAAAAACATAATCTGATGTTTAAAGGTGCAGTGTGTAACTTTTCTCATTCTTTTTTTCATGGAGACATTAGTGGGTACTTGACTTAATGCTTTTTTTTTTCTGTCCTGTGGAGCAAAATCCAAAAATTATTTTCAGCCTTTCCACAAACATCACATCATTTTTTGTGAAACTTTTAATTACTTTTTTAATTTAACATGCCCTGTGGTGTGACCTCTGACCCCGCTGAACATTCTCTATAACTTTGTCAGAATTCTAATAAATGACATCACACGTCTGTGCCAGTTGAAGAAATATGTGACTGTCCCATAAAGAATATCTTTTTAACAATTAGAATTCTGTTTTTCTTAGGAAATCCTGTTGTCACGCTGCAGGACATCACACAGGCACTTGTTCAAAGTTTTTCAGAAAAGTTGGATTTTACAAGAATAAGATCAAAATAAAAATAAATTATTATTACTTTTGACCTGATCTTAAAGCCTTAACCCCAGAGCTCTTCCTGGTGCGTACATGAGTCTTTTTAAATTAAACTGCTTATATCTTTTTTAGATTTAAAATACAGATAAAGGTGTAATATTATTAAACACTGTATGCATGTTTCCCTTTATAGCAACACCTTTAAGAACTGTCTCTGAAACTAGAGACTCACTATAGAATATTATAAAGTAAAGTGTCCAGTCACACTGCAGGACATTTCAGTGTTTAGTCCTAAAATTCAAAGAAATGAAACACAACTTCATTGTAAAAACACATCATTTTAGAATGATAAGTATTTGATATGTATTTGTGCCCAGATAAGTTGAATTTTGGAAAAAGAAAATATTATTTACAACGTCAATTAAAGTGATTATTCCATGTACCTTAATTACTTTGCCCAGAATGTTTCACAGTATGACATTAAATCTTTGTATCATCATAGAGAAACCAGACCAAGTTGCAGGTCAGATCTGCGGACAGGCGACCCCGCTAACAATCAGAGTGTCTGTTTTTCTAGGTATTTTTGAGCTATAAAACCACCTGTAATTGAATAAATGTAACAAAGAGCAGTTTAATGTCACACTGTGGAACATTCTAGACAGAGCAATGACACAAACAAACAGCTAAACGCTAAAAACGCTAAAATGTAGTTAACATCACTATGTTTGAGATTTGATGGAAAAAATTGCCACGTTTTCCCACCAAATGAGATCATTTCATATTTGTAGTTCCTGGTTAACTCAGGGTATGACACATGTTGAGGTCATTTCAGTAACCATAAAGTAAACTGTAATGTAAACTCAGGCCACAGTATATACAATAGTTGTTATCTGACAGAAACAAAAAAATGACAACAATCTAAATTACTTGTATCAGAAAAATGTGTGTAAATTGTCTCTGCATTTTGGATGAAGTTGGTGATAGGCAGTGTTGGGAAAAGTTACTTTTAAAATGTACTCCCCTACAGATTACAGACTACATACCCCAAAATGTAGTTTGTAATGGAATCCATTAAATTACTTAAGGTGAGTAATGTAATCTGAATACTTTGGATTACTTGGTTTGCTGTAGAGAAGCAAAGACAAGAATATCTTCACATAAGATGTTTTGTCTGATAAAATAAAATAAAAAGTCAAGTCTTGTCTTAACCAAATTAAAAATAGTATTGATAGAAGACGAGGAGACACGGTCCACGCAGCATGATTCAGACCTGGTTTAGCTCTGGTTTAGACCTGGTTTGGACCTGGTTTAGACCTGGTTTTAGATCTGGTTTAGACCTGGTTTAGTGTCCGGCAATGAGTGGAATTACAAAAAAAAAATACCGCCATATAATCCATTTATTTCATCCAAGTAACTTACTCACTTAAACAGTAACTGTAACTGAATACAGTTACTCATAATTTCTACTCTGATTATGTAACTCTGGTACATGTAATCTGTTACTCTCCAACGCTGGACATAGGCAGAGGGAATCTGTTTTAGAACTCAACACTTCTCCCTCTATTTTTATGTTTCTTCTCAACTTTTCTCCACAAACTGCCACTTAACTGATAGAAAATTATGATCATTAATTAGCAGTTCCAGCTCCATTCACTGTGTACTGAGAATCAGCCGAGTCGTGCTAAAATAAATCTAGATTTAAATATCAAACTGCGCGTTAAGGCCTTTGCTACAATGTAAATACGTCACCTGAGGAAGCTTCTGTGTGTAAAAGTAACGTAGGAGTTTGTGTCTAATGCTATGGTAACCTAAACTAAATTTGAAAACAGGACACAAAACAACTTTATGAAAATATAAATGACAAGTCAGTTGTTTTTCTTTGCAGCTCGTTCAGCTCGCAGCACTATTTTAACATCAGTAACTCATTTTTCTGGCGTGAAAAGGGCCTCTTTGAAACACATTTAAACCCGTCATGTGCACTTTAACCTGACACTTTTAGGCCCCACAGCTGTTCTGTCTGCACTTTTGGCACAGACTTTGCCTCTGGATCAATAACTCTATATTGATTGAGGCTATTTTTGTAATTATTTGGCAGTAAGTAGTTCATCTTAAGCCTTCATTAGCTCCAACTCATTTCCTGTGCAAAGGTAACAAAAGACTGAAGACATAAGTGCTCCTAATTGATATGTCCTTACTCACCGCCTCTTGTCTGTGTGTGAAATCAAATGTCTGCTGCTTCTATGGGAAATCAGATACGTTTTCAAGAAGTTCATGTGATTGTCTAAATGAACTAGTTGAACCTGGGTTTTCGATGCAGTAAAGACCAGAGAAGTGGAGCAGGGCTTTTATCACTCCACAAATAAACATGACCTTGTGCTCACATTGATCCGTGACACTGTGGCATGATTTACAAGAGTTCAAAAGTCGTGTTTTCACTGATGGTCTTCTTTCTTTTCTCCTTCCCTCTCTCCCTTGCTCTCCTGCCTAACCTCTCCCCTCGCAGAGGCACATCACACAGTCTGCAGGGAACCGTAAATTCAAGTGCACCGAGTGTGGGAAGGCCTTCAAATACAAGCACCACCTGAAGGAGCACCTCCGCATCCACAGCGGTGAGTCAGAGGGCGGGGCTAGCCTCCAGGACTCCTCCCACTCAGGGTCATCACACTGTACATCACGATACCAAACCAGACCAGCAGGGGGCACTAAAGGGCCTGTGAGAAACACTAGGATCACAAGATTATCTGCAAAAGCACAAATAATATTGAGTGCAGCGCGGGGCACTGGCTGGCTCATTGTCTCAAAGCTAATGCTAACTTTTATTAATATTTAAAATAAACAACCAAATAAACAAATAAGTCTAGACTGTCCAGTTTGAAGAAGTATGAACTTATTTTTGTACATTGGCAGTGTCCTCCAGTCAAGTATTCTCCTCATTCCTGTTTAACATTTCTCTCACAGCTCCCTGCCCACTACATCCTCTTCAAGTATTTTTTAGTTTTAGTGTGACTCATCAAAAACCTCGTAGAGATTTAATAGTACAGGAAGTGGAGACACGCAGAGCCAATTTAATCAATTCAAAATCTAATAAAAAAGTAAGAAAAAGAGAGAGAGTAAAGTATAGACCTTCCCTGGGATACAGTCTGTGTAGTGGACTGACTGATGAAATGACAGATGAATAGGAATTTTATGAATGTATTTTAATGGAAAACAAAAACAAAAAGTCAATAAATATGGACTGTTCATATTAATTACTGAAAATGTGTGTCAGTGTAATGGAATGAATCTCAAACCAGAAACAATCTAATGTAGACCTGGGAGAACATATTGAATATGGATTCTCAAATAATCTCCTTTAAATGTTGTATTAATGAGACACTACAAAGTGATAGTAACACATACTTCCATAATGCACTGTGCTCATATAGGGCCATAAATATATATATATATAAATATACAGTACACTGGAGGTGTAATATTTGGCCTGGCTGCTTGTACTAAACGTGATGTGTCTGTTGTGGAGTCCACACTGTGTGTTCTTAGTGCTCTGTAATAGTGTTTCCTCTGCTGATGGGACACACTTAGACAGGGGCCTCTCCCGAGGGCCGTTCTTCTGCCTCGAGCATCATTGGCGTGCATTATCGGCTGTAGCTGCTCGTTAGCCTGCGTTGCTAATGGCCCTGTGTACATGTGTGTGTTTCTGTGCAGGTGAGAAGCCGTACGAATGCTCCCACTGCAAGAAGCGCTTCTCTCACTCGGGCTCCTACAGCTCCCACATCAGCAGTAAGAAATGCATCAGCGTGGTGTCAGTGAACGGCCGCCCCCGCCCCAAAGCCCAGGGACCCCCGGCCCCCCTGCCCTCGTCCCCCTCCTCGCTCCGGGCACAGACCAGAGACCATAAGCCCCTCCAGGAGCAGCTGCCCATCACCCAGATCAAAGCTGAGCCCGCCGACTACGAGTACAAGGCGGTGATGACACCCTGTGCAGGGGTGCTGAACGGAGGAGCAGCGGCTCCACTCCAGGGCACGGTGCAGGCGGTGGTGCTGCCCACCCTGGTGTCTCCCATCAGCATCAACATCGCAGACCTGCAGAACGCGCTCAAGGTGGCCGTGGACGGGAACGTGATCAGACAGGTGCTGGAGAGCAAAGGCCAGGCTCCTGGCTTCACCACCGCCACCCTGCACCCCTCTGCCCCCTCACAGCAGCTCCTGTCTGCCATCAGCCTGCCCATCGTGGGACAGGACGGCAACGCCAAAATCATCATCAACTACAGCCTGGACCCCAGTCAAGCTCAGGTGGCCCCACAGAACCTGAAGAAAGAGCCCATGTCCCCAAGCAGTGAGAAGCTGCCAGAAGACCTGACAGTGAGGGGCCTGAGGGAGGTGAAGGACGAAGAGAAGACTAAGAGCTGTCTGCTGTGTGACCACTGTCCGCCCGGGCTGGAGGCTCTGCACGCGCTCAAACATGCCAAGAGATTCAACGGTCTGGACAAGTCCGAGTCCACCATCGCCGCCCTGCTGTCCGAGGGAGCACTGTGCAGCCAGCCCAAGAACCTGCTCTCTCTGCTCAAAGCTTACTACGCACTGAACGCAGAGCCCACCGAGGAGGAGCTGGCCAAGATCTCTGACTCAGTCAGCCTGCCCGAGACCGTGGTGAAGAAGTGGTTTGATAAGATGCAGCAGGGGGCGTTAGGAGCACCCACCCCACCCTCTGAGGAGGAGGACAGCGTGGTGTCTCTAGTCCCGGGGAAGGATACGGCCGTGATGAGTCCCTCAGTCAATCAGGACAGTCCCACCGAGGCCACCCCGGCAGAGGCCAACCACAGCTCTCCTGCCCCTCCCTCCCCCCTCAACCTCACGGCCGGCTGCCCCACCACCTCACAGCTGCCCCAGGGCCCGGACGCCCCCCTGGACCTGTCCCTGCCCAAGTCCAACTCAGAGAAGGAGCCCGCCAAGACCCCCAGCCCCTCCTGCAGCGTGCCCGATGAGCCTCTGAACCTGAGCTGCCTGAAGAAGGAGGCTCTGTGCGGGGTGTACGCCAGCCAAAGCAGCGCCGCACCCGTGCACCTGGTGAGCGCCCAGCTGCCCGCTCTGGTGGCCCTGGCCGAGCAGAACAGTGTGCAGTGTCTGAGGGCCCTGGGCTCCAAAAGGACCATCCTCATCCCACAGCTGGCCTACTCCTACAGCTCTGCAGCCACCAGCCCCGCGGGGACGGAGACGCACGAGGCCGCCATCCAGCTCAACGGCATCAAGGTACTCACACTACTATTACTACTCAAGTACTTACTTTAGTATTTCGTTAATCACAACATATTTTTCATTTGTCTCATTTTCATTTAATAATGGTGCTGTTTGACTGTTAATGCTGTGAGTTACAGTCTGTTTAATACTTTTAATAATAATAACTTAATACTACGATTATTCAAAAATATATTATTATTATTTAAAAAGTTAGTTAACATTTATTTTAGCAGTCGACTAATCATGATGATTATGATTAAGATTATTCCACTGATTCAGTCACATTTCAGTCACATGGAACTGACTGTGGTGAATACTTTGGATTAATAACCCAAGTAGTTTTTGTGAAAAATCCTATGTTTAATGTTGTAAAAATATAAATATATTGCAGTATTTATTTTACTAAACTAGCTCCGTTAGTTTAGTGTTCATCCACTGATCAGCAGCAGAGCAGTCAGATCCACTGACCCACAACAGCAGTGTGATTCCAACTCCCACAGATGAATGCTATCCTTGTGTCCTTAGGCAAGACACTTCACCCACTTCGCCTCCAATATCCGTGTGCACTGGTGTGTGAATGTGCGTCTGAATGTGTGAGTGGTTCCTTGAATATGGATAAACAGGTGGAAAAGCACGATAGAAATTTGACCATTTATCATTCCATTAAAACAGAAATGTAAATATGATGATGTAAAACAGTTTATACGGCTACAAAAACAGAACCTTAGCAACATAATATTATATAGAGTAATATAAAATGATCATGAAGCCAAAAGGAGGAGGCAGATGAAACTAGTTCTGCTCCCCCTTTACTCCAGTGAGAAATACTGCATCACCCTAGTTCACACTGAAGTACTCTGCATACACACCATTTTACCATCTCTGCTCCCATCTCTCCACTTTCCACAGTCCATCATCAGCGGCAGCATTAAACAAACACGACGGCCATCTTGAGTGCCAGGAGTGGAGTCCCAACGCATTGGAACCCTAATCCATCACGCGACCTGTTTCACATCATTACTTTCTTATTGTTCACAAGCGCCGCGCCGTGACAAATAGTTGAAATCCTCCCAAACCCGATCGATAACTCATAGAAGGCCGCCACAATTTCCCTCTTTGTAAAAATGATCAGGCCTAATAGTAGTTCATTGTACGGGCCGGTAAAAGGTGCAGTGATCGATGCGTTTGAGCGCCTCCTCTGTCCGCGCTGATGTATTGCGGTAGCATTATGGCGCGCTGTTAAACGCCCGCTCGACATATTTATGCTCTCTCTAATATTACCTGCACAGATAGCCGCAGATAGAGCCGAGGCACTTATCGATGAGAGGAAGAAGGATTAGTCCGCCAGAGACTAGAGGAAATAGTGCCGCAATGAGTCCCGTCTGGCGTGTCGTATATTATAATGGGTGTTCAGGAGGGGAGCGGGGAATTCTCACAAGAGCAATTGTTTTAAAAGGGACAAGATTTCAAAGATCGTTCAGAACCAAATCAATCAGTTCATACATTTTATGACAGAAGAGAAATATGACACTTTAAATACGCCTCATTGGCAGCTCCATCACACTGAAAAAAACATTGAAAAATCACTTAAATACAGAATAAGATTTTTGATTATAACCGAATAAATCATTTGTACATTTTATGACATGAGAGAAATATGATACAAAAGTTTTATGAGTTCAAAAGGATTATAACAATCCTGTATTTGAGTAAAATCCCTAAATCATCTCAGGCAGTAGCAGTAGTAGTAGTAGTAGTACTGCTTCTAGTTGTAGTAGCAGCAGCATACTAGCATAGTAGCAGTAGTAATAGTAGCAGCGGAAGCAGCAACAACAGCAGCAGTAGTAGCAGTAACAGTAGTAGTAGTAGGAGTAGTAGTAGTAGTTGTAGTACTGCTTCTAGTTGTAGTAGCAGCAGCATACTACATAGTAGCAGTAATAAAAGTAGTAGTAGTAGCAGCAACAGCAGCACTAGTACTACCTGTAGCAGTAGTAATAGTAGTAGTAGCAACAGCAGCAGTAGTAGTAATAGTAGCAGTAGTAATGTAGCAGTATCAGAAGTAGTAGCAGTAACAGTAGTAACAGTGACAGTAGTAGTAGTAGTAGTAGTAGTAGTAGTAGTAGTAGTAGTACCAGCAGCAGTAACACTAGTAGTAGAAGTAGTTATAGTAGCAGTAACAGTAGTAGTACTAGGAGTAGCAGTAGTAGCAGCAGCAGCAGTAACACTACTAGTAGTAGTAGTAGTAGTAGTAGTAGTAGTAGTAGTAGTAGTAGTAGTAGAAAGCAGCAACAGCAGCAGTAGCAGCAACAGTAGTAGCAGTAGTAATAGCAGAAGTAGCAATAATAAGAAATAAGTAATAGTAGTAGTAGCAGCTGGACGGGCAGATACTGTGGCTTGAAATAAAATGAAGGGGAAAAAATTAAGATTTAAATGATTTTAAACAGCCCATCCCTGTTGACCCCCCGTCCTGATCTTTTGCAGGAGGAGCGCGCAGACTCGGAGGGCCTCTCTGCTGCAGACGAGCCTGACTCAGACTGTGGACCGTCAAGGAAGAAGATGAAGAAGAGCGAGAGCGGCCTGTACGCCTGTGACCTCTGTGACAAGATCTTCCAGAAGAGTAGCTCCCTGCTGAGGCACAAATACGAGCACACAGGTACACGGGCTTTTCTCTGTGTTGGGTGATACAGACTAACCCAGATACAGAACTACTACTCTGTACTGAAACTCTGTACTTAAAAGAGTCTATATCAGAACTGCTTTAAGACAACAGTTAAATGTAAAAAGTGTTGTCTGGGCTTGTATTGGCACTTCAGTCATATTGTCCTGTCCACTTACAGTTTGAGTGGTTAGTTGTGACAGGAAGGGCATCTGGCATAAAAACCTACCGCCTGATTATGTGACTGTGGTATCTCCATAGTGAATAATCAGTGCAACGATAGAATGGACGATGGATTATGATGTTGAAGATTCATCACCTATGCTCCCACATGATTATTTTTAATAAATATACAAAAGCAGGATACAAAACAATGCACTACAACTTCACAAAAATGATGCGATGTGCAGCAGTGGAATGAACGCAGATGGTGTTGTGATAACGCTGTGAAGGGAGAGTGACTTAGCGTAGGGAGGTGGAGGAGGCTCGGAGCATCAAAAACATTCATCTTTTTTTTATTTCAACACAATAAAAGGTAACGTGGTGATCTAAATATGTGTTAGCTGTTAATACTCCATAGAAGTGAAATACTCTTCTTTAAATCAGTGGAACAAATGGTATATTGGTGTCATTTTGAGTACCATATTTTTCAGACTATAAGGCGCACTTAAAATCCTTTAATTTTCCTAAAAATCGACAGTGCTCCTTATAATCTGGTGCATTTTATGTATTATAGGGTGAACATATTTCCGTTTGTGTAAACCCGGACACCTTACCGGGGGTGGGGGGTGAGGCCTTGACATTGAGCTACTCTCACCTCGCAAACTGCGCACATGACCTCCCACTTGTCTCAACCAGGATGGAAAATGGGGAATTTCTTGTCCAAGTCATTGTTAAATGCACATTTGTGCTTCGGCATGTTGCAGACTGACCAACTGTTTGTGTCTGCTGCTCCTTCTGAGTCACAGAACTACGAGAGACGCTCAGTTTAATGGCCCCAATGAAAGATCATGAAAACCCTGACATTTGCATCACTTTATGAAAAAAAAAAACCCAGACACCCAGAACAAGACGCAAAAAATTGACATGTCTGGGGAAAAACTGACATTTGGTCACTCTAATGTATTAATTCTGGTTGTGTTTACTGACCTCGAACTGATTTTATGTGGTACATGGCGCTCAAAAATCTGTCAGACTGTTGTAGTACGACTTTGGTAAACTACGAAGCCACAACGCTTGACGGATTGTCGGAGCATTACGGCTGCTGTATTCAGGAGCCTCGCGGAGCCCGACAGAAGCTGAACCGCATCAGCGCACAAGGAGCAGTTTTGTCAGTGCTTATAGTTTATGCAAATGAGTCATGTGGTTTTAAGTTTCAGTTTTGTAAAACATAAACAAATGTGCGTAAAGCTGCATTAAACACATTATTACCCAATGTATATTTGAATCGTCCTCTTAGTTAATTAAAAAAACAAACTTAAATGATCCACGCACATTCACACTGATAATCCACATTCACCAAGACAGGGAGGCAACACCGGGCGAGTTACACCACGATCTGCCGATGGATCGTGGACGCCTGGACTAAGGATCAGTCTCAAGTGTCGTCTGATTGTTTTACTTAATGCATCTTATAATCCAGTGCGACTTATGTTTGAAAATAGATGAGAGAATTCAACATTATTGGTATTACGAATTATAGTCTGAAAAATCTGGTACTGTTAATTGCTGTGGCATCAGTGCTAATGTGTCCTCCCTTTGAAAGCCGTGCACACCATGTTTAACAGTTACAGTTCACACTCCAGGTTTAAAGTCCCTCCACATGTGCTGATGTCCTGTGTAGTCACTGGGGCAGAGCCTGCGTGTAGGCGTGGGAAAGCTGACTCACTCTGGCCCGAGAGAGGGGGATTTTGTGGAGGTCTTACTCAACCCCACCTCTCCTCCATCAGCTCCACGTGTGAGCCAGCCTGCTGCAATGACGGCCTCTGCTAGTGATTTGGAGCTCCAGGGGCCCGAGCGGTCAGCCAAGCCCCGGTCAGAGCTCTCATACCTGGCTCTGCTCGGCACAGCGCTGGTCCAAATGAGCTCATCTTAGGTGTAACTCCCTCCCACACGTCCCGCCCAGGTTTAAGGGGAATATTTGTGGTTTGTTATTTCATCATGTTACAAAAGTACAGGCAGTGCTCTCACATGTTTTAGATACAAATCATGTTTAGTGGTTTGAGCGTGAGCAGTTCCACCAGCAGAGACCCACGCAGAGCTCTGATGATGAGTCGTTTAGTGAATACATAAACTTTAACACTCGGACTCTGGCAGGTAGAGATGCCAGTGATGTGATGAAGGGAGACTATGATGGAAGAGTGTTCCCCCTTAACCTGACTCACGCCAGAATGAGATGTGGAGCACTCTGAACTGACTTGTTCACATCAGTGTTGTCACGATAATAACAGTTCAAACTCAAGTTGGTTACTAAGGAATAGACTCAATACTCAATACCAATTCAGATACCACAATGATGATAAATAACACTCTTTATTTGGACAATAGAATGTAATTTTCAACAATAAATGGTAGTACTTTCTTTTCTATTCCCATGGTACGTTATATGTGTGTAATCCTCAGTGGTGCAGTAGGTCCGTAGAGGTCCATGGGTGTATACTAGTCTATGTGCTCTTACACTTCTGATACAGCTCAACATCATTCTAAACACATTCAGGAAAGGTTTTTGATAGTTTTGACAATCCTACTGCACATTATCAATCAGGAGCGGCTCTCACTGAAAGCAGAACCTCTGGGACGTTCAAATTTTCCAAGCTGATCGGTCGAAGCGTCACAACAGCGGAACAAGGCTAAAACAAACTTAAAATACATATTTCCCTTCATTTCCCTTGCGTTTTTCACAAACTAGTCTGTAGGGCTAGGTATCATTAAGAAGTTGCTGATACGATACATACTTCGATACATAAGCCACGATACAATACATATCTCGATACAGTGCACTTTCCATTCAACACGATATATTTCAAATCAATTTGATACGGTTCAATCAAAAATAAAGGTTAAATCATGGCTGTGATCCTAAAAGTCTTTGTTAAACCACTTCCTGTGCAATGTTAATATAAAAAAATTCCCATTTTAATCATCAAAACAGTGAAAATGTCAAATATGTTGCATAAACGAGTTTCTTTCCTCTAAACAAGCAGCAAAACTGTAGCTCTGTAATAAAATAATTTAGAAAAATATACCAATGTTCCATGTTCATAACTGTTAAACTATTTACATATCGAAATCAGAGTGAGGTGATTGGTTGGGAGACAAATGTAGCAGGCTGTGATTGGCTGTGACAGGGGGGAGGGGCCAAGAGGAAATACACTTTCATATTCATAAATTGTATATTTCAAATGCTCAAAAAATGAAAATATGAAAACATACAAAATGTGTAGGTCTTTTGGTATATTTAAGTGTATATTTTATAATTTGTTTATATATTTTATAATTTCGTTTGCCCCTAGAAAAAAACGTTCACTGATAAAAAAGGCTTTTGGCGACAACTTTATTTAAGACATTAAAAGTAGGTATTTTATGTTAATTGTGAAACATTTTTATTTGTTCATGTCAAGGCTTTTAAAATTATGCCACAAAGAAAAGCTTATGATTTTGTCAATATTTATAATTTTTGCAAACAAATGTTATCACTGATTCTATGTGTGACCCGTGTCGCCGAATGACATTTTGATACTTTAAACCCATAATATTCTTTCAAATTCATCTAAATGCATATTGGTACAACTAAAGTGATTTAAAACAAATCAATTTAAACAGTTTAAACCTTTATATATTGATAACTAGAAAAGTTGTGGTTTCTGGACACAAAAATGCCAACATTACGTTACTGATCTATAAATGGACAGAGCTAACCTGCTAACTGCAACGTTCCCAATAGGAAGTGAGTATGGGCGCTAGGGATGGGCATGATTAATCGATTAATCGATAATTGATCATTAAGAATTTCATCGATTACGTTAATTTTAATTGACAAACCGAATGTAGGTTGCTGTGTGTGTCGTGACCAAACAGGTGTGTACATGTGTCTCTGCATCAGAAGGAGCGAGACACAAACAGTCGGTGAGTCTGCAACGTACCGAAGCACAAATGTGTATTTAACGATGATTTGTACAAGAAATTCCATGCTTTTTGTTCCGATCGGGACAAGTGTGAGTCCATGTGCACAGTGTATAAAGCAGCACATATGTTTCTGTGTCCAGTGGGAAAAAGATTTACCAGGTGAGAGTCGCTCAATGTCGATGATGAGTCCCCACCTCCCTCCCCCCGAACGGTGTCCTGGTTTTGACAAATGCAAATCTGGTCACACTAACCTGTATTCACCTGAGTCATGTCTTTTAATCCGACAGAAGCTGAACCACATCAGTGACACAAGAGCTGTAGTTTTATCTTCGCTTAGTTTATTCAAATTAGCGATGTGGTTTGGTTTCTGTGAGATTGTGCAAAACTGAATTAAACACGTGATAATGTCAAACAGCTGATGTGGCTCTAGAGTCGTTACGGTTTATATGTCGTAAAGTTGAATTTATTTATGCAGATTAGTGCAGATAGTAATAATAATGATGATCATTTTAATATAAAATGTTAAAGTTAATGATTAATCGATAATCGATTGTTAATTCTTCCGATGATCGATTAAGAAAATTTCATCGAATGCCCGTCCCTAATAGCCACGCTTCTGTCTCCAGCAACTCTGGCTTCAATTTATTTTCTATTGTAAATCATTGTCCCTCTCTCCGTAACTGCTAATACCAGGTTCATCATTTTGGTCTTAAAATGTTTGTATTAACCCACTCGACATGATTCTGGTGTTTTTATTTCACTTTTATCATTTCCTATTACAAATATGAATCTCCGCTCCAAATTCGCTCCTGTATTTACTAGTCTCTGTGAGCTTCTTTTTAGTCTACTTTGTTCTACCGTACAGTCAGTGTTGGGAAGGTTACTTTTAAAATGTATTTCACTACAGATTACAGATTACATACCTCAAAATGTAGTTTGTAACGTAATCCATTAAATTACTTAAAGTGAGTAACATAATCTGAATACTTTGGATTACTTGATATAGTCATGATTTTTAAAACTACATGAATGTAACAACCACACCCTGAAAATAAATGTTTGTTTTCTTCAAATTGTCTGTTGAGCCCAAGTCTCCATGAACAGACTTTTGTTTTACTGTAAAGTAGCAAAGACGAGGATCTTAACATAAGAAGTTTTGTCTGCTAAAAGAAAATAAAAAAGTCCAGTCTTTCCTTAACCAAATAAAAAATATTATTGATAGAGAAATTATTTTTATATGAGAAATTAGAAATTTATATGAGTATGTCCACCTTACTGTTAGTGTCATATTGATTAGTCCTGGTTTAAACCTGGTTTAGACCTGGTTTAGACCTGGTTTAGACCTGGTTTAGACCTGGTTTAGTCCTGGTTTAGTCCTGGTTTAGACCTGGTTTAGTCCTTGTTTTAGTCCTGGTTTCGCCCAAAATGTGAAAACAGGAAAATACCACCATGTAATCCATTAATTTCAACAAAGTAACTGTAATCCAATTACCACTCACTGAAACAGTAACTGTAACTGAATACAGTTACTCATAATTTGTACTCTGATTATGTAACTCTAACACATGTAATCTGTTACTCCCCAACACTGCATACAGTCTATGTTCATATTTCATTTTGATTTTCCCAAAGCGATGGTCCTAACGGTGCTGTGTTTGTGTGTGACAGGGAAGCGACCTCACGAGTGCGGCATCTGCTCCAAGGCCTTCAAACACAAGCACCACCTGATCGAGCACATGCGCCTGCACTCCGGAGAGAAGCCCTACCAGTGCGACAAGTGCGGCAAACGCTTCTCACACTCAGGCTCGTACTCGCAGCACATGAACCACCGCTACTCCTACTGCAAGAGGGAGCCCACGCAGCCAGGGGGCGCCACCGCAGAGCTCCACAGCCTCATCACCCCCGCGCACGCACAGCTCCTCCCACCCCTCCACACGGACTCGGACGAGAGGGCGAGCAGGGACAGCGAGGAGGACGAAGAGGACGAGGACGGAGCCGCCGGCATTGAGGACATCCGGGTGGTCCAGGTGGAGGAGGAGGAAGAGGAGGGGGGGACGGAGGAGGAGGAAGACACGAGGCAGGGGGACGCGGCATGTGAGACGGGGGAGACGGGAGAAAAGGAGGACACTAGGCAGGAGGTCACCATGGAGACAGAGGAGACCACTAAGGAGGCATCTGAGGAGGTGTCTGTGGAGGCATCTGTGGAGGCATCTGAGGAGGCGTCTAAGGAGGCATCTGAGGAGGCGTCTGAGGAGGCATCTGTGGAGGCATCTGAGGAGACATCTGAGGAGGCATCAGAGGAGACAAAGACAGAAGTGGACGTGGACCGAGGAGAGGGAGGAGGAGACTGAACTTCCTGGTCACTACTGTGTTGAAATCCGGGTGTGCCTGATCAAATTCGTTTTTGTAAGAGAAAAAAAAAAGAGTTTTAACAAATGAAGGAAATGCATTATACAGACTTTGGAAGCTAGAGGCGACACGTTTTAGATTTTATTACTAAAACACCTTGGGTCCTTTGGTTTTATCAGTGTTACTAATTTTATCACTCATATTTTAACCTTTAAGAAGCTGTACAGTTGGGAGATATTTCTTAACCTTTTTATTGCCAATGAACAAAAGAGACGCAAGTATTTTATTAAGTTGGAAGAATCCTGTGCACTACGTGGCTTGGTTGACCCCCGGTTGACCCCCGGACGCGTCGTACCGTCAGTATTACAGAACCGAGCGCACTGTTGGATGGGACTGAGAGGCCCGGACTGCTGCCACTCCTGTGTGATTGTATGAGGCACTGACAGGAGCGCACCTGCCTGGTGGAGCAGACAGGAGCACTGCTAAATGAAGGAGCTTGTAAGTCCATAGACAGTGTACAAATAGTGGACCACGGGGTGATCTGAAAAAGTGGGTCATGGTAAAGACTGTTCAGGAGTCAGTATTATTCAAGGATTTTGATAAACAAAGGGTTAAGCCATAAACAAAACATGAAATATCAATCATAATTTCAAATAATAGTGTTTGTTTTAATATTCCATTTGCATTCTGTTACCTAATAACGGGTAGTAACCATGCACGACTCAAGAGCATATGTTTACATACTTGCAGAGGTGGGTAGACAAGCCAAAAATTGTACTCAAGTACGAGTACTTAAAGATGGGGTGTTTTCCGAAAGAACAGATTTATTAGCTTTCTGCCGTGCTTAAAACATTCCCTCTAAAAACATTAAAAACATAAAAAATATGCCTGAAAAGGTTTAAGATGTCATCCATGCATGTTTGAGTATCTTAGTGATCTGAAGGGGGAGTGGCTCAGCCCAGAGAGCAAAGGGAGAGACTCAAAAACGAAAGTGAAACTTATAAAACATATTAATATGTTGTTTGTATGTTGAGGGAATATAGCATTTTCAAAACAAATGTATTAAAACATAAATTTAATAATAAAGGAATAAATTTAAAATAAATGAAATAAATAACAGGGTTCCACCAGTCATGGAAATCCTGGATTCAGTCATTTTCCAGACCTGGAAAAGTAATGGAATTTTAGTATCTCTTTCACGCAACTCAGGCGTTCTGTTAAGTTCTCATGAGGCTCTTACGATTATTTCCGAACGCCTTTTGTTTAAAAGAGACAACAATAAATGCACTGACAGGATTTTGAATGTTCAAAAACTATAATCCCAAACCATAAAGTGAGTGGAAAGAGTTAACATTTCAGATTTACACTGAAAGTCTGATCAATTCTACACAGGGAGATGCTGTAAAGTCATAGAAAATTCACTTTAGGTCATGAAAAAGTCATGGAAAAGTTTAGAAATTTTGTCATAAGTGTTAGTGAAGTGAAATAAGTGTTATCATATATGTGTTATCAGTAAATACCCCACAAAAGTGCAATACCCCCTCTTTAAACTACTGTTAATCAGTAGAAGTACGCAGTAGTGGTTCAAGAAATTACTAAAACTTTGAATTTAAAGAAGTACTGACTAGTGAGAGTAATGTAAGAGTGTCCAGACATAAAGTTTAACCACAAAAATGAGACAAACTAAATAATATGTGAAGGAGCAGCAAGAAACACAAAAAATGTTCAAATCATTTCAGATTATTGTCACTTAAAGCTTTTGTCACTTTAAACTTACTCACAGTGGGGAAAGGAAACACAACTTTTACTCAAGTAAGAGTACACAGGAAGTGGCAAATATATGACTTTTGTAGGAGTAGGAGTACAATTTCTTGAAAGAGTACTACCCACCTCTGGATACTTGTAGTTCCCAAACTACAATACCGATTATGTGAATGCAAATCAACTTTTTTACTTAAAAAATATATTAGAAATCTTAATCCCTCATAGATTCAACATGATGTGCTATGTACTTCCAGCTAGCTAAACACAGGTTGGCGAATCCTGAAGCGAACCTGCTACGCTAGCGTGTTTTCTCCTGTTTTCTGGTCCACTATGCAGCCACTGTCTATGGAGAAACCACTTTTATCTTCCAAAGCCATGTTTGAACAATGAACTAAAGCCTTTGTACTGCACCTTTTGAGAAAAACCACTAATGTAAAAGCTATTTTTGCTAATGAGACGTACCACTGTCTGAGCGCTAGCATGTTAGCAACCTACGGAAAAAGATGTAGCATGTTAGCATCACTTTGTACTAAAACAGCCTATGGACAAGTACCTCATACAAGCACACCACTAAGTCTTTCAGTTACAATCAGTGTTTCCAGTGAGGAGAGCAGAGATGTGGAGGTGTGTACCCGCTAACCCCAAACCCGAAACCCCCCACCGAGCCGAGCCGAGCCTTATGCAAAAAAAAAAAAAAAAAAAAAAAAGAAAAGACAAAATGCATTTCGAAAGTGCCATTGAAGCTGCCGTTAGCGTAGCAGCACTGATCAGGTATCGCCGGGTCCCAGATATAATGTAACCCAGTACGTAAATGCCGCTATACTGTTGACTTGGGCTCACCGCACCACCCCGGAGAATTAGCTCACCGCGTAGATTTACACGATTTAGTTTCAGTCCCCGTAGCGAGCGACGAAGATTATTATCCCTGTTTTATTTTGAAAAGTGTATCACACCGCAAATAGGAATGTCTGCATGCTAAAATAACTTGAGTTCATCATTGTTATCTTGATTTGAGTAGTACTTTTTCTTGGCGCAGCGAGATTTAAAGTCAGGAGTAGTGAGTTGGCTGGAGGATTAGCCTACAGTAAGGTGACCAGGTGTCTCTTTTTACCCGCAGAGACACCAGCAGATTTATACAAAACCACCGATTTGTCCCAGTTTTATACAAGAAATACCCCAGGTGTCTCTATTTTTGACCAATCTGATCCCTGCGAACAGTAAAGAGAGACATACATTGTCATTTGTTTAGGTAAAATACAGAAAAGCTGCTTAAAAATGAATAAAACACAAAGAAAATATGACTATTTTGACTCACATTAGTGTCGAGTGCATAACAATTTTCCTTATTTACGCACTCGTTTCACAATTTTATCATTACCAACCACCACAAACCTTTTTTTTTTTTTTTTTTTTGAAAATCTGGTCACTTTAACCTAGAGTGTTTTGGGTCTATAGGGTAAACTTATTCTAACTTTAAAGAAAATGGACCAATATGGTTCAAGAATCAAATCAGAGACCTTCTTGCTGTGAGGCGTGAGCGCTAACCGTGGTTCAAGCATTAACTGAACTGTCTAAAAGTTCATTTGTAATGTAAAAATGTACTAACTAATGTCAAAATTAATCTTATTTAATCTAGTTTTGTTCGTATGAAAAAAGAAATACTGGCTTAAAAAAAAAACATACTTAAAACCAGGAATAAAGCTACTTATCTAATCTCTTTACAACATGAGTCGCACACACAAAAAAAGATCATGTAGAGCGGGTTAATACGAACATTTTACGACAAAAATGAGGAGCCCGACAGCAGCAGTTACAGAAAAAGTGTTGACATCTTTTCAATAGAAAGTGAAATGGAAAGTCGATGGAGCCGTCAACACACCCCCATGCTCACTTCCTGTTACTAGGTTAGCTCTGTCAGTTTAATTTATATACAGTCTCAGTATGAATTTTTTATTTAAATTTTTTTAGTGTCTTGATGTAATTAACCCATTAAATATTTTACTCAGATCTACTCAAATCATTAATATTTTGAATTCAAGTTTTACATTTTCCGTAGACATTTCTGTTTCGGCGGTGTTCCTCACAGCGCCTCCGTGCACCTATATCCAGGTTGTGTCATTTGGATTCCTGGAGCTCATTCGAAAACCATTCAGTATTACCTTGTGTTTGTGTCCGTTTCCTTGACGACAGTATTAGCCCTCCCCTCGAGATGGGTCTGTTTTTAGTTTTTCTATTTATGTGTCTTTATTTTTTGTTTTTTTTTTACATTTCTTTGGTTATTTATTACACGCTGTATTGTAGTTTGTATGAATAATATATTTTAGTATGACGACGATTCCGTTTGCAGCCGACCCGACCATTGTGCACCCCGCTCCCACATGAAGCTACTGAACTGTCCGGCTAACGGCTAACTGTACGTGCTCGCATGAGTGTGCGGGTCCCGAAGGAGGACCCTAACCGCAGACTGTCCCATTGCCAAGCCAAAATAATCTCCTCCAAGTATTGTTCCTCGTTTTTATTTGTGCCAATTTGTTTTTACTTTGATGTCAGTGTTGAAACCACGCCCCTTTTATAAGCCCCTCCCCTTTAACAACCGTATTCTTTTTTTATAGTGGTTATGTTTTGTTTTGTTAATTTTTATGACTCCCCATCTCACAATAAAATACATCTACAAGCTATGGCCGTTGTCTGAATCATTTTTATCACTTTATTACGTATTTCACAGGTAATGTTCTTGTCTCTATGATGTTACGACTCAGCTTGGTGAGGGTCAGGGAAGTAACAAAAACCAAGATGTAAAAAGGTAAAATAAAGTGATCATTTAATGAAGGTAAACGGGTAAATTAACAAAAACATACTAAAATATGTATGGGCCCGGTCAAGCAGAAGTAAACAGCAAGGCCAAAAATTCAAGTTAATGCATCTGATATAAAAATGTATTGAACAGATACATATGTACTCTAGTTTATGAAACTGTTGACCTTTTTTCTGTACCATTTTTGGTCCTAAAGTTCCATATGTTTTGAACAGACCATGTATGAAACATGGAACTAGAAATAGTTTCCTTTCATTTTGAAGTAATATTAAAGTGTTCGGAAGAAAAAAGCGACAAATGATGTCAAATCCTGCACCTTCTACTTGTTTGTACAATTTTCCCTCCGTTACTTTTCCCTCCGTTACCATGACCTTTCTTAATAAAAAATCTCATGACTCAAAAAGTAAGAGGTTTTTCAACCTAATCTTGTACCATATGGTAGAAAACTATATGAAGCAAATATTCAAACCAGTTTGTTAAGGATATGGAAGTGAGAACCAAGAGTTATCACTGTTTGGATTTATTGACCAAAAAGTGCTGCATATTTCATTCCCTCCGTTACCGACATGAGTTTTTACATTTTTTGTCAACAACTTGAAAGAATATCACAGGTTTAACTTGACCCTGTTGGAGTGTAACTCTTTCCTACATTCTGATACTTTACTTATTTCAATAGTGTCTCTAGTTTCTGAATAAGAGACATTTGAATGTCAAAAATTTGCCCCTGTTTCCCTCCGTTACCACTTGACCAGACCCATATGTAAAATGTTCAAAACAAGATAGTAGAATTTACACAAAGCAAACTAACTGTACAGAAAATAACACAGACGAGAGAGCAGCAGTGGACCTCAGTCTTCTGTACATCTCCACCTAAAAGCCACGAGCCACTCCTCTGAGGACAGTGAGGTACAGATCTGAGCCAGAAAAAAGAACTGATTTGAGAGGAGCTATTTTTGTTAAGAAAGACAATCCATCCTTGAACAAAAATGTAGGAGTCAGACATCATCTCTGTCCCTCTACATCCTCATCCTCAAAACTAAATCAAAACAATAGAGGTAGTCAAGTCAGGCCCAGAGGTGAAAGCACCATTATGGGCCTGAATGATTCTGATCATATGACCCCACATTCAAGGCTGAGCTAACAAACGGAAACTGTAAACAAGTAGGGTGTTAGTTTCAGAGGAGTTTCAGTGTAGTTAGCTCCTCCCTTTAGGCAGATACTGTATAAGGAAGTGTCCAACAGCGTCTGGAAGAACTGAAGAAGCAGCTTGGATGAGCCGCGAAACTAGTGATGTTACGAGATGTGCCAAGGCTTTGAAGCGTGTGTCGAGTAATCCAGGAAGTCTTTGGTGGTGTGTGTATCAAGGCTCGTATCAGTGACGTATGTGGTGATGTTCAAAGCCTCTTGAACCGCCCGTACCATGTGACTGGTTTAGGAAGTGGTTCTCGGACTTGGCGCGATTCGAAACATAAGGGCCGGTGAAACGCAACAGATTCACCCAAAACATTTAGTGATTTTGGGTTATTGCGAGTTTGGTACAGTCTATTTGAGATTCTTTTTATTTTTTGCGCTGTGAAAGTATTTTTTTTCAAAAACAGGGGAAATTCTTTGTAAAAAAAGAAACTGTGTGAGTCCAAATACTTTGGAGAAATTTATATTTTTATATAAAAATGAATAAAATGACCCTATTTTGCCATCCTTATTGTGGCATAAGCACAGACATAAAGTAGTAACAGAAGCACAGTCACATTACATCCTGATCTCCAATTTGTTCCTACTTTTTTTTGTAACCCGACCGTTACATCATGAACACAGACTCCAGGTTAATACATTCAAACTTTATGTTAAAATCACAGACATTCAAATATTTAATCGTTCTTTTATTCAGTATAAATCTTTCCATCAGAACCTTGATGATCATGTTGATTGTTTTATTGTCAAGCTGCCTGTTATACTTTTTTTTGGCCTCTTGATGGGACAGTGGAGCAAATGAAGCACCTTGAAGCATCGGCTCAAGAGTCGAGCAAATGGCTGAAACGCTTCAATGCTTCAGGGGGCTTCATCTCCACATCACTACGTGAAACCTATTCAACCTAAATACACTTATGTCCAGTCGACAAATTGATTTTCTCCTTTGCCATGAACAATACCTGGATAACTGAGGGACACACAACTTGAATGACAAAACCACAAAACCACAAAAACTACAAATGCAGGAAGACACATGAAGCACAAATAAACACTACACAAGTGTCTCAAAACACACACAAAGTGACTGACACACAGCAGACAGTAAATGGCATCCAGCAGACCCGCAGGTTCAGGTGAGCTCCTTAAAAAGGGGGAGGCAGCTACAGGTGAGGTGGGACAGGTGTAGGCATGCCCCACCAATCAGAAGCCAGACAAGCAGGAAGTGGCTGGAGAGCAATTGACCAATCAGAAGCAAGAGCTCCCACAGCAGAGTTTCATGGACAAGCAATTAAATACACACTACTCGAGGTTGTTGATCGGCATGGAATGTTCCACACTACAGCATTAAACCAATTATTTATTCATTTACAGATGTTTCAGTTGCTCAGAAATGATAATGATTCTTACTGTGTGCGAGGATGTCTTTCCACAGATCTGACCTGTAACCTGTAACTTGGCTTCACTGATGGTTCTGCTGCTGTGGTGGAGGATTGTAGCTGAAAAGGCGATGGAAATGAAGAGAGGGAGACGGCTTTTACACAAATATCCTGCTGTAACTGACAGGAGGAAGGAACAAGAAAGAAATACAGTCTTCCTGGATAAATTTATGATGCAGGAGCCTTTGGGTGCACATCAAACATTTCCTTCAATACCTGACCTGATGTCTTCCTGTCATAACATTATAAAATATGACGCTGCATTCACACTCTCATGAAAGTAAGCATTATATTTTGCAAACCACTAGTCTTTAAAGATTCTATATTACACAGAATTTATTCTCATGAGATTTAAACCATGAGAGAATGTTGTTTCCTCCTCAAAAACAGACAGGAGTTGTGTTTTGTTTCATTCACACATGTTTGAATAACTCTTTATTATTAGTTTGTCTTCATCTCTAAAACTCAAATGATGTCATGTAGTGGTAGTTTTCAAGTGAACAGCTCTTTCTACATTTAGTTCAGTAGAGATTGGTGATTCTAGTAAAGGTATTTAAGTAAAAATCCACTGGAGCACTTCTTGTATTACCACATGACATCACAGGAAGGAACAGATTGTTTTCAGTTTGAGAGACGTGTGACTGAACCACACAACTCCAGGACAGTTTGTGAGTAATATGGGCCCTTTAAACACAACTTCACATTTATACAATATTTTTGTTCATATAAGTTTGCTTAATGAACATGAATTACTCAAATATTATGAGAGAATATTGAGTGTTTGTGGTGAGGTGTATATAGAACGGTCATCTGAACAGAGTGGGACTATGGTGAGACATGTGGGTCCAGTCAAGTGGTAACGGAGGGAAACAGGGGCAGATTTTTGACATTCAAATGTCTCTTATTCAGAAACTAGAGGGACTATTGAAATAAGTAAAGTATCAGAATGTAGGAAAGAGTTACACTCCAACAGGGTCAAGTTAAACCTGTGATATTCTTTCAAGTTCAAGACGAAAAATGTAAAAACTCATGTTGGTAACGGAGGGAATGAAATATGCAGCACTTTTTGGGCAATAAATCCAAACAGTGATAACTCTTGGTTCTCACTTCCATATCCTTAACAAACTGGTTTGAATATTTGCTTCATATAGTTTTCTACCATATGGTACAAGATTAGGTTGAAAAACCTCTTACTTTTTGAGTCATGAGATTTTTTATTAAGAAAGGTCATGGTAACGGAGGGAAAAGTAACGGAGGGAAAATTGTACAAACAAGTAGAAGGTGCAGGATTTTACATCATTTGTCGCTTTTTTCTTCTGAATACTTTAATATTACTTCAAAATGAAAGGAAACTATTTCTATAAAATATGTCAGTCCTTCCAAGCTAATTTTTAGCATTTTAAATACTGTCCCTTCATCAACTTTTCAAAGATGGAATAACACAAGATATGATGAAATACATCCATTTATTGACATGATTTGCAGGTCCTTGAAATTGGGGAAATAATTTTTGTTCCATGTGTCATACATGGTCTGTTTAAAACATATGGAACTTTAGAACCAAAAATGGTACAGAAAAAAGGTCAACAGTTTCATAAACTAGAGTACATATGTATCTGTTCAATACATTTTTATATCAGATGCATTAACTTGAATTTTTGGCCTTGATGTTTACTTCTGCTTGACCGGGCCCATGTGCAAAGGACTTTTCAAATGCATCCTGAAGCACTACAACTACTGTCTACAACTAGAACTTAGAACACAACATGGTTAGTGTGGTGGGTAATAATGAGCTGTCCTTCAATGTACCTCTAAACCAGGGCTGACAAACTCATTTTGGTCCGGGGCCCGTATCCAACCGACTTTGATCCCAAAAGGGCCAGATCAGAAAACTCATGTCATATAAACCCCCAAAATAACAATAAGTTCAAATATTTGTGCAGAGAAACACAAATCTATTACAAAAATCTTTTTTAATTGATGAATTCTTTCTTAGTCCATTTTTCTTGGAAAATCCTGCACTCGGCTCCTCTTTTCTCATTTTGGACATTTTGCTGATGAGGGTGTCACGTTTGGAAAGAGACAAGTCTTCATTTGTGCTGCTCTGGTGGGAGGGGCCACGCACAGAGGCGCTGGAGACGCTGCTATGCTCAGCACCACAGAAAATTACCAATATTTTAATAGAAAATATTAGTGATGGGCAAATGAGTGGGAGCTCTGGAGCACGTCTCGTTCT